ATATTTAAGTAATTAACAAATTATTTAAAACTTTAATTTGAATTATTAATTTTACACTTAAATACTATTATTATTATTATTATTTTTTTTTTGAACATTCTATGGCAACCAGCTAGTTATGTAATAATGCAACTTTTCACTGTTGAAAAATGTTTAATTTTATATATTTAAAAAAAAGCTCTGTTGAACTCTCTTCGGCGTTTTTAGTACGCTGCATGATTATATGATAATATTTTTGGGTGCGTAAAATACATGTGTGATATGAACGAAATTTTCAAAATATGAAATATAATGTCCGTCATTATTAATAGTATAGACTAATTATATAAGCGCCGAACCCGTCATTATTGCGATAGTTCTATAACTTATAAATCATATAAGTCGTCGAGTTGCGTACTGTCACCCACCTTGAGATTGCGAGCATTCTCCAACGCCCGAGTGATCTTGTCCAACATGTTGGTCTTGTTCTCTATCCTCTGTGTCGCGGTATCGAACCTGGTCCTGACGAAGTCCGCGTCCATCTTCAGTCGCGTCAACATCCGCTCGAACTGGTCCAGCCTGCTCTCGTACCGCGCGTCCACGACGGACCAGTGTCTGTTCACCTCGGCCGCCAGTCGCTGTTTCTCGGCCACCAGCCTGTCCATGGACTTCTGGCGTTCGGAGATCAGGCGGACGTTCTCGACGAGCACCATCTCGCGCCGTTCCCGGGTGCCGACGTAGTCAGCCTCGCATTCGTCCAGCGCATCCCTGGCCCGGCGGTGCTGGGTCCTGGCATCAGCCAACCGCCTGTTCAGTTGTACCAACTTGACGTCGTAATCTTCGCGGTATTCGACCGGCGCCTGCTCCGGCTTGGCCGCCCCCGGGGCCGATTTCATAATATTATCACTGTTGGATTGTAACGGGGGCGCGTGACACGAGAATTTAAGTTTTGTTTTTTTTCTTAGTTTTAAATTTTAGCTCGAAATATTTGATTGTTTACAGTTATCATAATAACATAATATGCGATGTTATATTTTGTACTAAACTTCGGTCTCCACGCAAAATCGCTGGTTCGCCTTTGGTTTGGGTCAGAATTGGACATATTTTTGTTCTGATGTTGTCAATCTCATATAGCTGCCTCCGTGTATAATATGTGGTAAAAGAGGTCACATTTTATAATTTTGTTTTTCGACTCTGAGCGGAGCGATGATAACAATATGTATTGATTTTACAACGATGGTGTGCGTGTGTTTTTGTTTTGTTTCTGGAAACAGTTTTTCTGGATGAAAAAATTCTTTGATTATCAAATTTGATAGAGGTCATCCCTGCAGGTGGCGAATCGGGTTTATACTTTAGTCAAAATTAAAAATTCTCAATAATTTTTGAAATAACCTGCGAGAATCAAAAAAACAACAAAATTTGTTGAAATGTTAAAATAAATGTTGGTAACATTGGTTACCAAAAATTTAGGCAATTTTCCCTTGGACCAATTTTAATTTTTATTGYATAAATGTCGATAAAAAAATTATCAAAATGTCAAAAATCTTAAAAATTTAATACAGAATTATTTCATAAGAAATTAAAATGTTCTTAAATAATTCGTCAAAATCATAAAAATTTATAAGATTTTTAATTTTTATATTGCTAGATCTTGAATATTTATWACAAGAGGTTCCTCATAAGTGGTTCATACTGAAATTTAAAAATCTAAAAATTATTATTTCCATGGTCGCTCATATCGTATACATGTATATAATGTATATACATATCAGACAAAGTAATATATGAAATCACATAAATTTRGACGAGAATTTTATAAATGCACAAGAAAGGTCTTATAAATAATGAATAATAAATGTTAAATACATCAAACTTTCTATAGAGGGACGTAACAATTTTATATTTTTGCAACAAACCACGCGTTTAATATTACAGATAAGACATCTCGCACACGTTCGTGGACAYAACAATGATATGTAAATATTAGCACGAAACAACCAAATTKAAAAAAAAAACATCATAAACTGCGATCGTGTTTGGCAAGTAGCTCATTATAATCCTAACATAAAAAATAATTTAAAATACGGATGGTACTCTGTACCAACATCGAATCACTCACCAAGGCGCTGAGATGAATACGTATTATACTTTAATATTAGGCCATGTTATTATGTAAAATATGAAACGAATTTGATGGCTGTTATAGCCTGCTCTTTCACTAGTTTTTTTTATCATCGTTTTAAAACGTTTTTGTGAAAAAAAATTATATCGTGACTAACAGTTCCATAAAAATGTATTTATATAGTATGATAAAATTTGTAGTAAATAGATTTCGATAAATTACACTTACAATTTATYATGAATGTGATGAACCACCTCGTGTTTTAATAGTCTTGAAACCAAAAATGTTATCAAAAAAGCGATCTAAAAAACAAATATTAATAATATTGTCACGATTCATGAAACTACAAGTATACCCTACTTCGAATCCAATTTATATATATATTATATATATATATATAGTCAATAGTTAATATGATGTTCATTTTATCATAATAAACTGTTAATGTACTTAAGTAAAAAAAAAAATGTGGTTAGCTTATCAGGTAAGAAACATTACAATATTATAGAATTTTCAGAATAATGTACGAGTATAGGTTAAATACGATGGCGTTTAATCAAAACTGAAAATTAAATGTCATAATTTCACAACTAAAACTTCGAATCTCATTCGAAAATCTCGTCATTGAACTCTATTAATCATAATATTAT